CAATCCTGATGTTGTCCTCAAGTATTTCCATTTCTCTTCTCTACATTTTTATTGCTCAAAAAACGTGCAGCGCACAGATCAATTGACTTTTTATCAGCCTCTGCAGAGTTAATAGAAATAACTGTACTTAGCAATTCTACTCTGCCATTGTGTGACACACTGTTTGTACCTGATAATTCAAGAGAATCGCTGAATATATGGGTTGAAATTAGCTGAAAGCACTGCTACCAGCAACTTAACTTCTTTTATTTACTTTATTTACACCTAAGCAGAGAATATATTGCCTTGAGCATGAGCAATGTCTTCAGAACCGCTGGACATCTCAAGGCTCATTAACTTCTACTCATAGATCACATTTGGTTTGGGCATATTTAAGATTTATATAACAATGCATTAATAACTGCACTCTTAAACATTAGTACGCTCAGAATTACAAAAATAGCCATAAAAATACTTCAGTGCAAGACATCTTACTTTCTATGACCAGCCCCAACCTTGGGGTTACAAAATGACAATGTCAGGCTGTATCATATGATCATCAGTTTCAAAAAATACAAGAAGAATATGCTCCAAATTTAGATTTTTATATGTTTGTGAAATATACAAAATTAAAATTGAGTATGATATATACATGAAAATTATGAACATTAAAAATAAATGGCAATGAAAAATAGTATGGCTTCTAAGAACTTACTTTTTGCCTGTTTTTTCATTTAGATACCAAGCAAAACTGGATTATTTGTAGCATAAATTTTTAGTGTCAAAAATGCAAGCAAATATTGATTAAAAAATGGGACTTTGTATTTCACAGAGAGGCTTCACATTAAAAAATATCACATAGCTACTGACACTTTTACACTGTGGCATTCAAGTGAATGGTTTTTTTCATACCTAGATATTCCTGTGATTGGGTTGTCTATTTTTTCTCCAACTTTCAGCAGATGTTCTGTTTAATGAAAGAAAGAAAACACAAAACTGCTTTGAGTGGATGCCATATTGTGTGTGACATGTAAGCTTGGAATCTAATGAAAAGCTTGGGATCATTTTTATTTTAGGCTACTCAGATGATTCCTTACAGGCATTGTTTGGAATATTAGTTCTTATGGTATCATAGAGAGGAAAATACATAAAATCTACACAAATAAGTGATAACAACAGGAAGAGTAGGCTAGAAGAAAATGGTAGGTCAGAACCGCAGATTTGCAAGGCTCTTGGTAATGGGGGGAGAGAGAGAGAGAAAAAAAATAATAATGAAGAATATCAGTGGCAGCAGATTTGAGAGGCAAATGTTGGCTTCCAACTCAGACCTTTCAAAAAGTCTGGATAGTTTGTGTCTATGAGTCTGAGTTGCTGCAATTGCTAGTCAACCTCTGTGAAAAGATGTAGTAAGAGCCCGTGACTGGAATTCTAATTTAGACAAACTGAAAAGAGATACAATTTTTTAGTTGCAAACAAGTCACACTGCTGGCTGATCTCATCACAAGTCATCAAATCACATATATGCTAAAGCCTTAAAATCTGTGAATGTATCAGTTCCTCCAATCTTCTCTTTCCTTTGTGGGACACGGTAAGAAAAGTTCCCTGAATTGCTCTCAATATACCCATAAGACACGCTGGTAATGGTTTAGCCTCACAGAATCATTGGGGTTTCACGAAGAAATACCTGCTCATCGCCAATATGACAGACAGGTCACGCTATGTGTTGTAGCCTTACACTTCATAAAAGCATTACCTGATATATGGAATTTACAAAGCAGAAAATCAAAAACTGAAATTATTTACAGCAATCACTAACTTACTGACTAAATTAGGGCACTTAGGATAGGATAGGTCTCCTCTCGTCTTGTACAGCTGTGGCCACAGGCTCCCTTTCCAGTCAATGGAGGGAACTGAAGGAGGGTTCACCTGGCCTACTTGACAGACATCTGAAGGTGAACCATCCCATACAAATGTTTACAATGTAGGTATTAGGTGAGATGAATCATAGAATAGAATCATAGAATCATTTAGGTTGGAAAAGACCTTTAAGATCATCAAGTCCAACCGTTAACCTAACACTGCCATCCCACCACTAAACCATGTCCCTAAGCACCTCATCTACACGGCTTTTAAATACCTCCAGGGATGGGGACTCAACCACTGCCCTGGGCAGCCCATTCCAGTGCCTTACAACCCTTTCTGTGAAGAAATTTTTCCTAATGTCTATCCCAGCCACACACCTCACGTCTCCCATGCTGAAACCTAGGAAGTACAATAAAGAGCGTTTCTGACATAGTTACTTTGGTCTTAGGCAGGTAACAAATTTCTCTTCCGGGAGGGCTCTCTAATTCAAGGCCTTTTGGCACACACACAAGCCCTGGCATCGGATCAGCTGAGACTAGCAGCTGGGGCCAGCACTAACAAAACAAAAGCATACATTTCAGAATAAAAAAACACATGTAAAATTTAACTATTCCATTGAGGAGTAGCTGCAAAATGCGCTAATCCAAAATGTATTTATGTAGGCACAGGCAACACCAAATGACTCTAGAGTGAAGACGTAGACTTGGGAAGCACAGGAGATGGGTAAAGAGACCTCAGCTGTGCAAGGCAGCCTTCAGCAACCCGAACTTGGTAATACCCAAGCGCTACTCGGCATTGAGGGCAGCCACCTCAGTCAACAAGATGTGCTTTGCAAGATGAAGAGAAAGGGATTTTAAGGCAGGGGACATGTTTTATTGGTCTACCTTAAACAAAACAAAAGAAAACAACGCAACACCTTCAGATCTTAACACTATCATGTCTACAATTATGCTAAACCCCAGCATATTCTGTTTTATGTGAAGTGTGGGAGCTGGAAGACCGTGTGCCATGGCGATGGGCTGAGACCTGGCACGGTCACACCTTGATCAAAAAAAACGCCCAAAGACGGGCACTGCCCAGAGGAAGGGCAGCTGCCTGCAGTGATAGCCTGAGGGAAGCCCATGGCTGGTCACACACGGCTTTGTTTTCCATGGAAGATGAGGTGAGGCGGAACGGCCGCCGGGCAAGGAGCGAAGCGGAGAGTAGAGGGAAGATCGGCCTCGCCCGGGTCTCTCCTCAGGAACCCAGACGGAAACCTCCCGCGACCAGGCAGGCAGAGCCCGCCCGCCACCTCGCC